ATTATCAATGGAGCAAACGGGCGAAGGTCCCCAAACATCCATGTATAACAAATCAAAGGGTCTTGAACTAGTCAAAGTAGACACTGAAAAGGGAAGTTTATGAGTTTTGTTCACCAAACAAGAATCACAAGAAAAGGAAGTGGAGGAATTGGAGGAACTGGAAACTGGAAGAGCTTGAGAGCGCAAAACACGGGAGAGCAGCCTAGGATGTGGATGTCCTAGTCGATTGTGCCAGACAGCCGATGAAGTTGTGGTAGTGGCAAGTGCTAGGCGAACGGTCTTTACATCCGACGGCAGCTCGTACACATCCCCTCTATTCTGGCCTCGGAGTAGTTGCGCCCCCGTGGACAAGTCCTTCACAACAAAATAATCAGAGAAAAACTCTACTGAGACTGGATTAGCTTTACATAATTTAGCAACGGATAGTAAACGTTGCTTGATGGCAGGAACACAAAGAACATCCTTTAATTGCAATGAAGCAGCAGAAGCATAAATCATAGAGTTGCCAATGTGTGTTATTTGCAAACCTGACCCATCACCAACAAGAACCTCATCCGGGCCATTATAGTCTGCGTAAAGAGAAAGATTGCCAAGGTCTGGAGTGATATGGTTGGTTGCTGCGGAGTCCATTAACCAGCCGGAATTAGAGGGACCAGCAGAGGTATGATAAGCTAGAGTAGGAGGGCGTCCATGAAGACTGTAGCATTCCTTTGCAGTGTGTCCGGGTTTGTCACAGAACTGACAAACGACTCTCACTCTTCCACCACGACCAGCACTCTGTTGATGACCTGAAAAGTTAATGAGATTGCCTCGAGAGGGTGGCTGGTGTTGGTGAAGCGGTTGAAGTGAAGAGTGTGGTTGCTCCTGATTAAATTGGCGATTGACAGCCTGTTGGGGGTGCTGAAAGTAGCGTTGATGAGAAGGATGTTGCGAGTGAGAGTGGCCACGACCACGCGCTACTTGTCCTCGAACACCACCGCGTCCACGTTGAATAGAAAAGGCCGTCGTGGGTGAGTGGCGGCTGGCAGCAAGATCAGATTCGAACTCCACCAATCTGTCATGGAGATCTTCGACATCAATCGGGTTCTCACGAGCACGAAGGGCAGCCGCAAGAGGGCCAAATTCTGAGTTCAGCCCTCGTAAAATGTTAAGAACAAGATCTTCATCTGCAACCGGTGCTTGGACAAGAGCTAGCTCAGTGCAGCTGGTTCGCATCTCCTGTAGAAAAGCAGACACAGAACGGTTGCCTTGTCTCTCTTGCACAAGACGGGTCTTCAAACCAATGACCCGAGAGCGAGAATTTCCTGCATACATCCTCTCAAGGATGGAGTATGCTTGACGAGCAGTGATTGCTGCCGAAATATAGGGAGACACCACATCGGAGACAGAGGATAGTATAGCATGTAGGATCAACTGATCTTGGCGATACCATCGATTGCGTCCCGGTGCTCCTTCTGCCGGCTGCGTGTTGGTGCCGTCAACAAATGACAACAAATCCAGCCCACGAAGAAGAGTTAACAATTGGGCACGCCATTGAGGAAAATTATTTTTGTTTAACTTTGTGGGGAGCTGTGAAGCCGGATTTAGAGAGATGACATGATTGTCATCGCCGGTGAGTGGGAGTACCACGGATCCGTCGCCGCCTGTTGGGGAGTCGGACATGATGATAATAGAAAGTGATGTGCTGCCGAGGGAAGTGAATAATAGTACTGGAAAAAGAAAGAATAAAATTGAAGGACAGTGATATGCGGCTAGCTTGAGTTGGTGATTTTGGGGATTTCTTTTATTTTTGGAAGTTGTTGTAGGCGGGAGTGATGTGCAGCTGGCTTGGGTTGGTGATTTTGGGAATTTTTTGTTTTTGGAAGTTGCTGTACGTTGTTGACAGGAAGCAAGAAAGGAGGAGGGTGTAGCTTGGAGAATGGTGGCTTGGTTAAGGGATCGAGCACTTGTGCTTTTTGTGCTCTGATACCATATGGAGATATGAATTCTATTGATGGAATATGTCTCTATTACATTGATACAGAAGGCTAGCTGTATATATACATACACTTGACAGTAAAATGATGTGGGTGATTACAAGTAGTTGGCAGTAGATGTGAGTAGATAGAAAAGAGTAAAGGCTATCACATGAGTCTCTGAATATGAGATAGCTGGCTGGAGCAGAATAGTGATGGAGGGATATAATGGTGATGGTGTGATGTCAATTGGAGGAGTGATTAATAAGAGGTATTGTCTTCTGTAAAATGGTATGGGTTCCAAGTATAGGTTGCAATTAACTTTTCTGAATTATATCTCTATCAGCTTTTAGAACTAAAACCAGGCCACAAGAAGGGTGGTGGTCGTTGGACTCTCAGCGAAAGGCGAACCGAGAGAGAATCAGGAATAACTAGAGAAGAATAATAGAAAGCAGAACAACTAATGATCTCAACTTTACTTCAAGGGGAAGGAGATTAATGAGAATGGTGATAGATAATACATGGGAAAGGAGGAAGTAGGGATTGAATTGCATTTTGCTGCCACCTGTTATCCATCTTCTCCACATGCAAAAACAAGCAGTCAGATGGGTCTTTGTATATAATGGGAGGGGACTTATCGCATTACTTACGGTGGGGATTTCAGATGTGTCTATCAGTATTACCAAACAAAGCAATATTTGCTTCATGTGAAACTAATCTGTCCTGAAATACGAAAACATTTCATAAAAAATTACAACAGTATGTCCAAGGCCAACGAATATTTAACCAAAGTTCAATTTTGAAACTCTCAACATATTCTTCTCAAATTAAAACATTATTCCTCTTCAACACTAAATAATAAGTATATTTTATAAAAACCCGCCGAATAGCGCAGACCAAATATATATAACTAATTAACTGAAATTTTATATCCAAAACTACTAAAAAATATATTACAACCAAAATTATTGTCAATGTCCAAGACTAACAAACATAGTTAGTAAATACTCCGTTAAATACACGTATATGTACCCATACGTATTTTATCCGTTTAAAACTTCTGTATCCGTATTATTATCAAGCCCTTTCATTTTTTCCGTTCATTTTATGGCTTCAGTACTAAACACGTATAAAACCAGTATAACACGTTTAATATCCGTATTTAATGAATTAAATTGTGAAATTTACGATTATTTATATATTTATTTACTTTTAAAATAATTAATTTTTATGTATTTATAACTATTAACGTACTATTAAACGTAACATTAGGTTAGAGACGACGTAAAATACCCATACGTATTTTTTACGTAACTTTCCCGTACCGTATTTTACTACCTATGCTAACAAATACTTAACAAAAGGTTCATTTTTAAGATTTAGACATATTCACCTCAAATTAACACTAACGGAAATATATTTTATAAAGACCCGTTGCAAAGCGCGGGCCAATTATCTAGTAATTATAAATCGGTAAACAAAGGAAAAATTATTGGCAATAATTGGCGAGCAGGTTGGAGCGCCAAGAAATGACATGTACTAGTTAGTTTGCTAGTAAATGAATGGTCCTATTAGTAGTACAAGCAAGTGACATCAACCAATGTATTCTGAGATTTCCACATGTATCTGTCCGTCGATTCTTGTCATGACTCATGAGACCAACAAAATTTGAGGTGGTGAGATTAATCAAAGGTTGGTTGTTCCAGTCAGCCAACTTACTTGAGGTATCTATGTTCCGTTCCAGCTTCCAATTCCACTTTGGAAGTCGCGTGTTAAATAGATATATAATAGCCTCTTATTTTGGTAAGTGATTTTAATCTGTTCCACTTCACTCAACGTGGTCGTACCCAACCCCAACCTCCTATTGAAATCAAACCAAACCACCATCACAATCCTCTTTCATATGATCCTTAGCTACTTTTCTCCACATTTGCACCTCCAAAAATTAAATTCTCTCCTCAACGTACGTTTCCTCTTTCAAGAGAATTGGGTAAAGCTAGCAGTGTGGGGGAAGAATGATGATATTCTTGCCAACTTCAAACAAACCTATCCATCTCTTTAATTTCCACATGGGTTTCTTCTTATTAACCGACCAACGCAAGAATAGAATAGGCAATGCAGAAAAATCCCACATGGAATCTTGACTTTGAGTCTTTGACACAGCGGCTGCAGTTTCCAGCAAATGGCTTGTAGGTGGTGCGTGTTTACTGAATTAATTAATTAATATAGCTTAGCTGGGCGCTGAATCACAACTGAGATTGGGAATATCGGACCAACTGATGCAATTTGCGGAGCCGCTGATGGTAACACATAAATTATGAACTACTCACCAGCCATCTGCATTTTTTGTTAATTTACCCAAATCCAAAAGATCGACATTATCTTCAATCTATATAATTCTCGTTCCGTAGTAACAGCCATTCACATCATTAAACTTTCGTTTTCGATCCTACTACGATACATCATGTTCAACATAAATAACAAATACTCTAATAAAATACATGAATCGAATCAACAGGGTACCCTCAGTTAAACTTGTGAATGGTGATTGATCACTGATATGTGTGTTTCAAAGTGGACAAACATAATGCGTGGTAATACCATTAAACTTAGAATATTTTGATCTGTTGATAAATGATGAGTAGAGGAAAAAAGGGTAAAACAGGATGCATGCATGGAGGGCAGGTGGTGGGACAGACACCCGTATGGGGAAGGTTAGGTTGGGAGATGGAGAGTAATAAAAGCCATTTATAAAACCCACCGTCAATACAGATATAAGTAACTGCTTGCTTGCTTTCGTTTCGTGTTGGCCACCCATTATTCCGTCTCTACTAACACCTCTTCTTCCCCACTGCTCTGCCTCTGCCTCTGATGGTAAAAGTCTAAAAGAAACAAGAGATAAACACAACAGCATTGCATCAATCATTTTTTTTTTTTTTTCATTTTACGAGTACGTATAAAAAAGAGAAGAAGAAATATGCAGCATTAATTATTCAGAATTTATTGCTTGCTGTGCCGTACCGTTGGCCCAACCCCAACCACTTTATTTACTCTCTTCACTCTTCTTCTTCTTCTTCTTCTCCGTTCTTCCCCTTTCCGGAGTAGATACTTAGAATTTAACACCAAATTCTGAGAGCAAACAGAGTGCCCAAATCGATACACAAGTCTTGTGCCTGCCTTTGGGGGAAAATTAGTAACAGGCATTGTTATTAGTGGATGGCGATGGAATACTTGGTGAAAGTTGGAGAAGCAGAGGATAGCAGCATCGGCAGGGGAGAAGGAAAGCCAAGTGCAGGGCCTGTTTACAGGAGCATTTACGCCAAAGATGGCCTCTTGGAACTTCCTTCCCACCTCCATTCCCCCTGGCAATTCTTCAGGTAAACAAAACTGCAGTTGAATTAAGCTTCCTTTCTTTTGTTCTCATAGGTGAAACGGCATTTGAGTTTCAGGGCTCGCAATGGCTTTTGTTTGAACAAAATTTTCTACAGGGAGACAAAAGAGAAAAAAGATTTTGAAAATTGGCCCATGCAGGTCTCGAACCTGCGACCTTGGCGTTATTAGCACCACGCTCTAACCAACTGAGCTAATGGGCCTCGTTGAAATGACTAACGGCTACAATTTATTTAACCATTATTATCACATGGGTTAAAGTCTATATTTCCATTTGATCCTGCAGTGATTCAGCGGCTAAGTACGCCAACAATCCCATGCTGGGTCGCCGGAAAATCATAGATTCCAAGGTATCCTTCTACTTTTTTGACTGGCTAATAATCTCCTGCTATGTGCAACAATATCCTTAAGCAACCAGAAATTAATGGATTAGAAGAACTGCTGCTCATCCTAACCCATGGTGTCAATTCGACTGGCTCGCAGGCTGGATCATATGCGTGGCTCACTTACAACCAAGTTTATGATTCAGCTTTGAGAATTGGTTCTGCAATGAGAAGCCTTGGTGTCAACCCTGTAAGCATAAAACTCCTCTCCCACCATATCAACTAGCTACCACCATCTATCCCATTTAATTTCCATACATCTTTCAACAGTTTGATTTGATGGGCATACATACTGTAAGAAATAACGTGAAAAGTGATCAACCTTAGTAAAATTTGTTTCGTGTTGACAGGGTGATCGTTGTGGTATCTATGGTTCCAACTCCCCTCAATGGATAACTGCAATGGAGGTTTGATCCCAAACCTTTTCCAGATTGTCCTTTCTCTCATTCATTACAATCTCACATTGCTGACCACAGATTTTACCCTTTTGCCAGGCTTGTAACAGCCAGGCTGTGACTTATGTTCCTCTCTATGACACCCTTGGTAAAAAAAAGTTAATTGTCTTTACAATTGATTCAGTTTTGAAATTCAGCTCCTTTGGTAATGGAATTTGTAATGCTGGCCCAAAACTTGCAGGTGCCAATGCTGTGGAGTTCATCATTAACCATGCTGAAGTCTCCATGGCCTTTGTTCAAGAGAACAAACTCCCTGCTGTAAATCTCTTCCTGCCTGCTGTTGCCCTTTTTATATCTGCTTCAGCCCTTACTAAAGCTATCTGCCCTTTTTTTTCTTTTCAGGTTCTGTCCTGCCTCTCAAACTGTTGTTCAAACCTGAAAAGTATGCTACAAAAAACCTTCACCAAACCCTATTTCACCCTTCTGAAAGCTCAGGGTGCTCTTTCAAGATTAATGATAAACCCTACTTGTTCGTCACTTTTTATGCAGCAATCATCAGCTTTGGGGACATTTCTGCCCTGCAGAAGAAGGAAGCCGAGGAGCTGAGGGTGTCTTGTTACTCGTGGGAAGAGTTCTCTCAGCTGGTGAGTAAAAGAAACATCATGAGCTGTTTCTCCATCATTTCTTCCGACTCGAGATAACAGCAGCTTTCTAACTTGAATAAGTGTGTGCTCAGGGAAGTTTGGATTCCGAGCTACCTCCGAAACAGAAGACTGACATCTGCACCATAATGTACACAAGCGGTACTACTGGAGAACCTAAAGGAGTTATCATCACAAATGGAGCTCTCATGGCTGAAGTTCTGTCTGTTGACCATTTGCTCTCCCAGACTGACAGAGTGGTAAAACTTGTTAGTTCCCTGTACTCAAAAACTAACCCATTATATCGTTGAGGAAATGAAGAGAAACCATTTTTCTTATTATTGTTTCAGCTTGATGAAGAAGATACATACTTCTCTTTCTTACCTTTGGCTCACATCTATGACCAAGTGATCGCGAACTACTGCATCCACAAAGGTGCCTCCATTGGATTCTGGCAAGGGGTAAAGAAAGACTGCAGACTCTATTAGATAATTCTCACCTTCACTCACTGAGTTTTTGTTGCTTTCTGTTGTTTCAATCGGATTTTCGGGTTTTGCTTCATAGGATGTCAGATTCTTGATGGAGGATCTTCAGGAGTTGAAGCCAACCATGCTTTGTGGGGTTCCTAGAGTGTACGACCGCATTTACAGCGGTAAGTAGCAACTCTCTTATTCTTTCTACCTCTTCTTTCTGGTTCTTACTGTGGAAAATTACTATCTTCCAGGTACAATGAGCAGGGTCTCATCATCAGGGGTATTACGGAAGAAGCTCTTCGATTTTGCTTATTCCTAGTAAGTTAACAATCACCTCAGTCACGAACAAGGGCTTGGTCTAGTGGAAATACCACTAGCCTAGAACCTGGAGGTCCCAGGTTCGAATCCCTTAAGTAGTACCTTAATAACAACAAAATAAAACCTATATCACCCTTATCAAAAAAAAAAAAAAACAATCACCTCAGTCGATGCCAATTCATGTTGCTATTACCTTTCTTGTTCCACAAGTAACAATGTGGATAACCATCTTACAGCAAGCTGGGAAACCTTGAGAAGGGAATTGCACAAGCCAAAGCTGCACCATTCTTTGACAAGCTCGTCTTTGAAAAGGTTTGTTCTTTCGTTCGAACCTGCAACTAATGCACTTTCCCATGTCCATTTCTGCCATTCAATCTAAGGTGTTAGGGAATTGCAAACAGACTAAGCTAGCATTTGGAGGCCGAGTCCGGATTCTCTTGTCTGGAGCTGCACCTTTGCCTCGCCATGTCGAGGACTTCCTAAGGGTCATATCCTGCTCTACATTATCACAAGGCTACGGTAACTGAACCATAAACCAATCATTAATTTCCCAATTCTTTCATCATTCTCCAATTTTTTTCATATTCACTAAACTAAACCCCTGTTGTTGACAGGACTTACTGAAAGCTGCGGCGGATGCTTCACTTCGATCGGTGACATATACCCTATGGTGGGAACCGTTGGTGTTCCTATGACAACCATCGAGGCCCGGCTCGAATCAGTCCCTGAGATGGGCTACGATGCCCTCGCCAGTGTGCCACGTGGCGAGATCTGCCTCAGAGGTAACAGCTTGTTCTCTGGATATCACAAGCGCGAAGATCTCACGAGAGAAGTCCTCGTGGACGGCTGGTTCCACACGGGTGACATTGGAGAGTTGCAGCCCAATGGAGCCATGAAGATCATCGACCGGAAGAAGAACATCTTCAAGCTGTCACAGGGCGAGTATGTCGCCGTGGAGAATCTAGAGAACACTTACTCTCGATGCCCTCTCGTTGCTTCGATTTGGGTGTACGGCAACAGTTTCGAGTCGTTTCTAGTTGCAGTTGTCGTGCCAGATAAGCAAGCAATCGAGGAGTGGGCGAAGCAGCACAATGTTACGGGCGATTATCAAGCCTTGTGCGAGAATCAGAAGGCCAGGAACTATGTCTTGGATGAGCTGAACAGCACTGGAAAGAAACACCAGGTATATCTCTCTGTTCTTTCTTCCTGCTTTAGCTTCTCTCTGCTTTTTTCCACTTCTTTTTCTTTGGCTACATTTACTAAGAAGGAAATGGCATTCTTGCAGCTGAAAGGGTTTGAGATGTTGAAAGGAGTTCACCTGGAGCCAGTTCCATTTGGGATAGAGAGAGATCTGGTGACTCCAACGTTTAAGCTCAAGAGGCCTCAGCTGCTGAAATACTACAAGGAACGCGTTGATCAACTTTACAGTGAAGCAAAGGAGTCCAAGGCTTGAGTTGAAACTGAACATGTCTGATTGAACTTCTACGATGGTGTAAAGGCTCCTACGTGGTGACACCGCAAGAGTTATCTCATTGGTCAATGTTTATATACACATAAAGAATGACTGGAGAATTATGAACAGATTCAATTGTCATTCTGATCTTCCAACCATTCAATTAAATACATATGAATGGAGATCACTACATATTGCTTGTCTGCTGTTAATTTGAGCTTGCATGATGGTGTCTCGGAAGAATATAGCATCACATTCGCAGAATAGCATTGCGTGCTTCTTTTTTATAACAACAAATGAATCTGCCGCACTCTGCTGGACTAGGCTTACAAGCAAAGAAGAAAGCCATGTCTGCTCAATAAAAATTGCAGAGAAACAAAATGAAAAGCAATGCATGCATTTCAATCTCAATTCAATGGCGGTCTTTCACATAGTAAGCATAAGTGGAAAGGTGGGTTTCATCATGATCGAATCGTGCTACGTCAACAATCAAAGTGATGAATAACTAGTCTACTTCTGGATTAAGCTACAAAGAAGAACTATTAATTTTAGGTTTATGCTTCGCATAATAACGGTCGAATGAAATTTTTAAGAGTTTATATAACTATCTAGCTCTAATCGATTAATGGAAACTACGCGATAAATATGGCAATTTCTTGTAGGCATACATGCATCACAAAGCCCAGGCAGGATAAAAGAAGAGGAGGATTATCCCGACGGTGTTGGAAATACCATTGGCCTTGGTGAATGAGTTTCTGAACCCACCAGATGCTCTAATGTGTTCTTGCAGCAGGTAGCAAGCAATGAGCATACATATCGCCACTCCAATCCAGTTGTCCCTCAGTGTTGAAGCGAAGAAACTAGGCGCCACCACTATTAGCAGAACCAGAGAACCCGGCATGTCAAGCCAATCTAGCAAACACAAAATCACAATTACCAACCAAACAATTAATTTTTTCCACTCCACTCCACTACTGCGCGCTAAAAATGTAATCTTTGATTCCTGAAACAGCGGCGGCCATCCTTACCTGGGAATCGGCTGGGGAAGAGAAGGCGGAGTAGAAGTGTCATGATTGCAACCCATTTCCCAAACTCGCCACTGCGTGAATTTGGGGAATGGGGATTTGACGGAATCAAGACACAGTTCAACATGCAATCAAAAGCTTAGAGAGATAGAGGGAGGGAGATTTGAAATTTTACCGTATGAAGCTGAAGAGGAAGGAAGGGAGGGTGAAGAAGATGTAAGGAATGAGTAGCGCAGTGAGAATGTTTGTCTTCCAATTCGTTCGATCCAATACCAGCAGATAGCTGCATCAAATCAATCAATTCAATTCATAATCAGATTTCAGAAGTGGAAAAAAGTAAAACAGAGGAAACTAAATTTATTGAAGGGAAATTGGGGGCGTGGCGAGGCGTACATGGCAGCAATAGCAGAGAGACACTCGAGAAAAGAGGTTCCGAAACCGGCGACGATGCCAACATGAATGGCGAGCTTCTTTGCCGCCGCAGTCAGCTCTTTGAAATCGGAAGCGATTAATTCGCTGCCGAAGCTGCTGCTTCCTCCGTCGATCTTCATCGCTAAGTAGCTCTTCTTCCACATAGCTATTCCTCAACTCAACCTTCTTCTTCTTCTTCTTCTTCTTCTTCTTCTTCTTCTTCGTGGGGGAGGAGGATTCGAGAAATTAGTACGCAGACGGACTGCAAACGCGAGTCGTTGATCCCTCGTGTTCTTTTGATGGATTAGCAGTTCAAATTATTATGTTCCTTAAGCAATTGTTAATAACTACGGCTGGAAGGATCGTTGACTGAAATCTACTTTATTAGTGGCTGACACCCACACCTACGAATTCCGAAAAAGTTAATATGCTCACAGTGGGTTTTGTGAGTAAATACTCACTGACCCACAGATCCGCCCAGCCGAGAGGAGGGAGACAGGCTCGCTTAAATTAGCTGTGGTGAGTTTTTTGGCCCAAGCTGAGTCGACAAATGGAGCCGACCGGCTGGCTTAAGAGAGGGGCGAAATTTTGGACGGGAAGTTAGAGAAAGAAGAACGAAATTGGTCTAGTGGCTTGCAGCCTAGTAAGGGTTGCCCGCCGAGAGCCCATGGGCTGAAGTTCCAAACTCATCTTTCTTATATTTTCTATGACATCGACAGTGAGGGAGAGTTCGACATGGCCTGGAGCACAATGGTTGCTGATTGTTTCCCTAATAGCGAAATTGCGGACGGTCGCCCATGGTTGGAATATTTGAAGAAATTTCATCGTCGATGGTGTTCCTTATGGTTGAGAGATCAATTCACAACCGGGATGTTGACTACGCAAGCCAGCGAGTCGTGCAATGCACAAGTGCGAATTTTCTTGAAATCGAAGCATGATTTGGACTTGTTTTTCGGTTAAATTACACATTTCGTCACTCGAATTACAGAAATATTTCACGTTTGCCACTCAAATTACTTTTCTTTCATATTAACCACTAACTTTACGATTTGTTTCACCGTTAGTCATCCTTCGTCAGTCTCCGTTAACGCCGTCAGATTTTTGATGATGTGGCAAACGAAAGTGCTGACTGGGCTGACACAGAGGATGAAAAAGACGACACTATTCCACTTCAGCACCCTAGTGTCGTCTTTTTCATCCTCTATGTCAGCCCAGTCAGCACTTTCGTTTGCCACGTCATAAAAAATCTGACGGCGTTAACGGAGACTGACGGAGGGTGACTAACGGTGAAACAAATCGTAAAGTTAGTGGTTAATATGAAAGAAAAGTAATTTGGGTGGCAAACGTGAAAGATTTATGTAATTCGAGTGACCAAATGTGTAATTTAGCCCTTGTTTTCATTCACTTTAGCAGGTACGCAAAATATTTCTTTGCCTTTCTTTGATATTAGTCTACTTAAGTTTTGGATATTTGTCAGCGTTGTCCGGATATTTATATGCTATTGTTAAATATTACTTTGCTTAGTTGGGATATTAGTATTGGTTTGAGTGGATATTAGTCTGGGCACTAAACTCTTTTTCGTGCTTTGTAAATGTAGCTTGTTGGCTGAAAAAAGACGCAAGGAGACTGAGTCAGACTACAATGGGAAACAATCGGTTCCTTATATTATGTTGGAGGATAGCCCGATCCTACAACATGCGGCAAAGGTCTTTACTCCTAACATCTTCAATCGGATACAAAAGCAGTATTTGAAAACTGAACCCTATCTAATGGAGACGCTCTCAGATACTAGGGATGATGGCATGATTGGCTACATCACATATATGATAGAGTATGATGAGCGTAGTGATGAGCGCGTCGTTCTCGTTGATATTTCTACGAGGACATTGGTATGCGAATGCAGGATGTTCAGAACTTTCGGAGTGTTATGCCGCCACATGATTAAAGTGATGCGGCGTCTTGGAGATTTTGGTGAAGCCAGTATGAGAAGTATTCCAGATCATTACATACTCAAGCGATGGACGTTGGAGGCGAGAAAGAAAGTGGTTGTTGATGTCGATGGTTTTGTTGGTCCTTCAGCTGACAGTGAGAATGATGCGGGAAAAGTATAGCAATGCGGTACCGAGAAACCAGTGCATTAATGTTGAATCAGCTAGCAACGAAACTATCGATGCCCGATGAGAAAGACTACAATAAGTGGATGGGAGTACTCAAGAAACTGTGCAATGAGGCAAACAAGGCATTGTCAAAGACTATAACTAGCGAGGACAGTAAGTGTATTCACTAATATTATTTGTAAATTGTTGGAGTTTAATATCATTGCATTTACTAAATTCAGTAACATTGTATGACGGTCTATACCGATAACTGAGCTGACTTTGAAGGAGAAGAGTAATCCAAGGAGTCACAGTAAGGAACGTTACCAGTCTAAGAATGAAAAGGAACGACGTCGAAAGAAACGTGTCTTTAGGAAGAGAATGAAATAAGATGAAGCGGTCACGCCGGACAACAATACTCAACTGGATGACCATCTTAGTGATTTGGATGATACTATTGCTCAATGGTAATGAATATAATGTAGGGTGGGTCGAGTGTGATCTATTGTGATATGATATTGACATGTGATTCCAGGATACATTTTTTTCATGCAGTGGATATTAATCCACTTGTAACAGATACCTTTCTGGGCAATCTGGATATTTATTAGCAGTGTTCAAGGATATTAGTCTAGCCTTCCTGGATATCAGTATTATCAAAAGCAGGTTCAATAGCACCAATGATTACTTCTTTCACTAGCCACATGTGCAGGAACTTAGGCTTGGATAATATTTAGGGATGAATGTTATTTAGGGTTGGATAATATTTAGAGAGGTATGATGTTTTGCAGCAGGATAAATATCTGTCTTTTTGTATACTAATATCCATAAAGAACAGACAAATATTCTTACAGCCCAGACAAATACCTTCTTTATTTAAACAAATATCAGCAAATCACAGACAGATATGCGAAAAACCCAGACAGATATCCGAAAGACCCAGACTAATATCAATAGAGCCCAGGCTAATGTCCTTAAGGCCCAGACCGATACCCTTCATTTCTTCACGGTCTCCTCGGTGTTGTCTTCATCATCCGACTCTGAAAAAGCGGGGAACGTTACCTCGTCCCAATCCATGTGAAAACCACACCGGTTATCCATACTCGTACATCCAACATCGGAAATACCTCTTCGGTGGGTTGACTCAAGTCGTTTAGCGGCTCTCCAACCATGGTAACAGAGTATAACACCATCATATTCGAACTCATCCATCAATCCCCGGCGTTATGGTTTAGGAGTCTCTCCAGACATGGATTTTGCTTTGGAAGAGAAGTGAAGAAGAAACTGAGAGAGGAGGATAGCCGATTTGGGTTTGTGTATGATTTGTCTTAAATAGACAAATGCAAAAAAGGTCACATGAGTACAGTAACAAAAAAATCACATGAGTACAGTAACAAAAGAGGTCGCATGTGAATAGTGAAAGAAGTAATCATTGATACTATTGTACTTGCTGCTGCTAATACTGATATCTAGGAAGCCCAGACTAAAAGCTGTACATATTATAGTACATATCAAGTTTGCCCAGACAAGTATCATTAACAAGTGGATTAATATCCAATGCACCACAAAAACGTATCCTGGAATCACTTGTCAATATCTACCAAAATATCCTCCATCCTAATACAAACCATCATCCATTCCTAAATATGAACCAACCCTAAGTTAAGTTTTACAAACTATCCAGCACACCTAAACAAATCTAAAATCAATTTATCTTCTTTTTCCCTTTCTCTTTCTCTTTCTCTTTCTGCATACTCCAATCTTTTTCTCCTTGAATTATTGCATCCTTGTAGCCGTTATAGTTCCATAACAGGAGGTTAGCTGCAATCTGTGTTCGTTGTTCCTCCACATCTTGCTGCTTGTGCCAACTATTTTTATATTCCACCGGAAGGTGACCCACCCATAGCTCCATGTAAAGGCATGTAAATACCGCAATCATCATTGCCAAATTACCGAGGAATGTCTGTAACATCCCTGCCCTCGTACTAGTATTACGTTATAATTACGTGGTTGTGATTGGGTTACAAAAATTAGTCTTTTGAACCAAAAAGAAAGTGAATAGTGGAAGTGCTAGACTTAATTGCAAGTGAAGGAAAGTTTAGTGCCAAATAGACAATTTGGAGGGATGGAGAATTCTAGATAAGGGAGATAAAAATCTGTCCATCCTCTTATCTCTCATTTCCTTCTCATCCCTTCCCCTCACTCTCTCCCACGTCTCTCTCTTGCTCTCTTCCTTTCACCTGGTTTCACCACCTCAAAAACCACCACCCCCTTTCAGAAACAAAGAGTGAAAGCTAGAAAGAAAAGCATATCAAGGAGAGGAAGAGGAAGAAGAAGGAGGCAAAGGGGGTGCTGCCAATTTCCGTCCAGCAGCGAGACAGCCTGTGAGAAGGACGATTCCGGACAATCAAACCGTTGGATCGTCCTGATATTTGTAGGTTAGGTTTGCATACTTCTTTGGCTACGACTTGACCGTTGGGATCATCGATATGATCTCTGATTCATCGATGAAAGTCGCTGGACAGAAGGGGTGCGATACTGTTTTCCTGTAGCAGGACAGCAGATTAGAGGTAAGATCCTGTGCGAATCCGTCGTTGGATCGTTCTAGAAATTTGGTATGAGGTTAAGTATAGGTGGTTCTTCGAATTGACCGTTCAGAATGTAGTGTTGATGTCGGAGTGGTCAGGAACAATTGTTAGAAGAAGGAGAGTTGGTTGTAAAGTGAAAGAAAGTTGTTGACAGTTTTGAAATGTCAAGTTAAAATGATTTCTGGGATCAAAAGGCTGATCCAAATGGTCTGAAATTTGGATATGTTGTATCCCTATGAATCTAGTTTCAGTAGCAACGAGAATCAACGGATTTGGTTAAGTATCAAGGGAGAAATGATCAAAATGAGGAAGCATGGTAAAGTGTACAATCGTATGACTTCCCTTGTGGTCTTATTGACATGCATGAATATAACCATGATTATGATGATTGTATACGTGTCTTGGTGCTTGAATAACCTGGAAATCTTGTACATAAAGGTAAGGATCAAGCCGGGGGCTCATCCAAAGGCAAGAGCATAGCCGAGTGAAGACAAAGCTGTGAGTAGATTCTAATCTTAGATCTACTTCAACATAATCACAGTATCCGGGTCATGAAGTGGCCCGAATACATATCGGGGTCATGAAGAGGCTCCGGTATAATATGGGAATTTATGGGAAATGATATTGCTATGTGATCTGGCTTATTTGTGTTTATTCATTATCTGCATTTGGTATGAAGTTGGAAATGCATGAATTGTGAATGAGATATGGAAAGACATTCTGTTGATTTATTGTGCGGATTATGAGCAAGTATTCGAACTTGCGAACCCGTCTTGTCTGTTTAGATTTGGAGTAAGCCATTAGGCTTACTAATCCTATTCTGCTTGAATAACTCGGAGTAAGCTCCTCAGCTTACATTCCATTCTGTTGTGACTGAGGGTACAAAAGCACTATGAATGCTTTTGAGCCTATAGTGTCTAAGTGCACTATTAATGAAAAGAGGTGAATACTTAAGAATAAGTAAAAAGGTTTTATGATACCTCGGTACAGTAGTGTGTCCTGTTTGTATCGATGTGGGTAAACCCCACGATACTCCTGTTTGAGCGCTCGTGCTTCGCACCGTGCCGATTGGGTGACGACCCACGGTACTCCTGTTCTGTTCAGTTAGCCGGGCTGGGGTAATCCCGTGGCGACTCCTGTTTTTGTATCGGTCCGGGTTGTGTCCCGCGATATTCCTGTTGGTGCGAGCACTCTTGTTTTGTGCCTTGAGCACTCCTGTTTTGTGCCTTGAGCACTCCTGGAGGTTCTAATTTTAATGGGAATAATGCTGAGTCCCGCAATAGAGCCAATCCTTATGTCAAGGATTTTGAAAGGCTGAGGAGTATGGGGGCTGAGTTCTTTAAAGGGGCTATTGACCCTAAAGATGCTCTGGACTGGATCAAGGAGATGGAACGAATCTTTAACCTCCTTGAGTGTCCTGATGAAGCAAGAGTGGAGTATATGTACTACCTGCTCAGGTCTGATGCTTATGACTGGTGGTTGACCGTACCCGGGGCTCAGGATCGTACAATTCGGTATACTTGGGCGGAATTTCTTGATAAATTCCGTAAGCAATATGTGCCTGATCTGTATGTGGATAGGAAGAAGAAAGAGTTTCTGGACCTGAAACAACAAAGGTGGCAGACTGTTAAAGAGTATGATGCCATTTTCCATCGTTTGATGACCTTCGCGATGGAGTTGGTACCTACTGAACGTGCTAGATGCAACCGCTATGAGCAAGGCCTGAATGCCCAGATCAAGATGATAGTAGCAAAATCAGAAACGACTGATCTTGCCACCTTGAGAGAGGCTGCCATGAGAGCAGAGGATTTGGTGAATGAATTGGGAGCACAGATGGATGAAGGAAGGAAGAGAAAGTGGAAGAACGTGGGTTCCTCGAGTGCTGGGAACTCATTCGGGGGTAGACCTAATCAGAGTCCGAAGGTTTCGCGTTCAGTATCCAGTTACCCTGGACAGGAGCGGAGAAGTGCAGGCCCAGCTCCTATTTGCCCACATTGTGGGAATCAGCATATGGGTGTTTGTAGGAGGGTAACTGGTGGGTGTTTCCGATGTGGAGACACCAGCCACTTTCTCCGCGATTGTCCCCACATGTCAGAGTCCAGGCCTGCTGGATCCCAGACCACAATTCAAGGGTCCAGAAGGACTGGAGGTTCAGTGAGAGGATCAGGAAGAGGTGGTAATAATCGTGGCAAAAGTCAGGGTGGACAGAGCAGTCGGGGTGAAGTGCAGCCACGAGCCTTTGCTATGACTAGGAGGGAGGCTGACATCTCTCCAGAGGTCGTTACTGGTACGGTTCTTATCTACGATCTTGCCGCTTATGCGTTGATTGATCCTGGTGCCACTCATTCATTCATATCTTCTGCATTCTCACGTGGGTTGCCTGTGCACTCTGAAATGTTGAACAAGAATGTAATAGTTCAAACCCCAGTAGGAGATACCGTAGTGATTGAATATGCCTATCCTGATGCCCCAATAAGTCTAGCTGGAACTATTCTGCCAGCTAACTTATTGAGGTTAATGCTGACTGAATTTGATATAATTCTAGGAATGGATTGGTTAAGCCAACATAGAGCCGTAATGAACTGTTATACTAAGGAAGTAATTTTCGAAAGACCAGATGGTCAGAATGTGATTTTTCGAGGGACTAGACAGGTGGTGCCTAGTTGCCTAGTCTCGGCCACCAAGGTGGTGAGTTTGATGAAGGAAGGCTGTGAAGTGTATCTGGCTTATGTGACTGAGGGCAAACCGGAATTGAAACCTGAAAATGTTCAGGTTGTGAAGGAGTTCCTGGATGTGTTCCCTTCGGAACTGCCAGGATTACCTCCGGAAAGGGAAATAGACTTCACTATTGAACTGATACCGGGCACTGCTCCGATCTATGTATCTCCGTACCGGATGTCTCCGTTTGAACTTAAAGAACTGAAGGAGCAACTTCAAGAGTTGCTAGATAAGGGGTTCATTAGACCTAGTGTCTCCCCTTGGGGCGCTCCGGTATTATTTGTGAAGAAGAAGGATGGAACTTTTCGTCTGTGTATTGACTACCGGAAGCTCAACAAGTTAACGGTTAAGAATAAATATATGTTACCTCGGATTGATGATTTATTTGACCAACTACAAGGATCAAGGGTCTTTTCGAAGATTGAACTAAGATCAGGTTATCATCAATTAAGGGTAGCGGATGAGTCCATACCGAAGACAGCTTTTCGTACTAGGTATGGGCATTACGAATTTCTTGTTATGCCTTTCGGGTTAACAAATGCTCCAGCTGTGTTCATGGCACTGATGAACCGAGTGTTTCAGGAATATCTAGATAAGTTTGTGATCGTCTTTATTGATGATATTCTAGTGTATTCTAGAAGTGAAGAAGAGCACATGGAGCATTTGAGAATCGTACTGCAGATTCTGAGGGAAAAGCAGTTGTATGCTAAGTTCAGCAAATGTGAATTTTGGATGGATCAAGTAGTATTTTTGGGCCATGTGGTGTCTGAGAGAGGTATAGAGGTGGATCCAAGGAAAGTAGAAGCAGTGATACAATGGGAACCACCGAAAAATATACCTGAACTAAGAAGTTTCCTTGGCATGGTCGGATACTACAGAAGGTTCATTGAGGGGTTCTCTCTGATTGCTGCACCATTGACAAAGTTACTGAGGAAAGAGCAATCTTTTATATGGGATAATAAATGTCAATCCAGTTTCGAAGAGTTGAAGCGGAAGTTAACCACTGCACCGGTTCTTGCCCTTCCCTCAGGAACTGGAGGTTATGTGGTATACAGTGATGCTTCGCATCAAGGGTTAGGATGTGTTCTCATGCAACATGGTAAATTAATTGCTTATGCTTCCAGGCAATTACGACCGTATGAGAATCTTATCCGACTCATGATTTAGAACTGGCGGCTGTGGTATTTGCCTTAAAGATTTGGCGTCATTATTTGTATGGTGAGACTTTTCAGATCTTTACTGATCATAAGAGTCTCAAGTACTTGATGGAGCAAAAAGAGCTAAATCTTAGGCAAAGGAGGTGGTTAGAGTTGTTGAAAGATTACGACTGTACCATCGAATACCATCCAGGCAAAGCAAATGTTGTGGCAGATGCTTTGAGTCGAAAGACCACGCATCGTACTAAAAATGAGGAGACTGGTTTAATGGCAAATTTGATTGCTTTGAGAGCTATGATTGTTGGATTGGAAATGAATTCCGCAGGAGGGTTATTGGCCACTTTACAAGTGCGACCAATTTTGAGGGAAAGAATTATTAAAGTTCAGGATCAAGACCCTGAATTGAGGAAGATTATTGATAAGAGTCGTAAAGAGGAAGAAACTAAATTCACACTTCAAGATGGCGTTCTGACACTAAACGAAAGACTTTGTGTTCCAAATGTGGATGAATTGCGAAGGGAGATTTTGGAAGAAGCTCATTCCTCTCCTTATGCAATGCATCCCGGAACGACAAAAATGTACCGTTCGTTGAGATCTCATTATTGATGGCCAAGGATGAAGAAAGAAGTGGTTGAACATGTCTTGACGTGTCTGGTATGTCAGAAAGTGAAAGCTGAACATCAAGCCCCAGCGGGAAAATTGCAACCACTGTCCATTCCAGAATGGAAATGGGAAAAGATTACCATGGACTTTGTCTATGGTCTACCTAGGACTCAGAAGAAGAACGACGCCGTTTGGGTTATTGTGGACCGATTGACAAAGTCGGCTCACTTTATACCCATTAGATGGGGTTGTTCGCTAGAGTTACTGACAAAGAAGTATGTGGAGGAAATAGTGAGACTACATGGAGTACCAGTATCCATCGTCTCTGACAGAGATCCGAGGTTCACTTCTCGATTCTGGAAGAGTTTGCAAGAAGCACTAGGTACTCGTCTGAACTTTTCAACCGCTTTTCATCCCCAGACCGATGGTCAATCCGAGCGAACAATCCTCACTCTTGAGGAAATGTTGCGAGCTTGTGTACTGGATTTCCAAGGTTCTTGGGATGAACATTTGCCACTGATTGAATTTGCTTATAACAACCAGTACCATAGTGGTATTGGTATGGCTCCATACGAAGCTCTGTATGGAAGGAAATGCAGATCCCCAGTGTGCTGGGATGAGGAAGGGTTACGGCAATTGGAGGGACCTGAAATCGTTCAGATGACAGTGGATAAGATTAAAGTGATCAGAAGCCGATTGAAGGCCACACAAAACCGGCAAAAGAGCTATGCTGATATCCACCGAAGAGAGATGGAATTTCAGAGTGGAGAGAAAGTATTTTTGAAAGTGTCTCCTTGGAGAGGTGTTTTGAGATTCCAGAATAAGGGTAAGTTAAGTCCGAGGTATATCGCACCTTATGAGATTCTGGAAAAGATAGGTCCGGTAGCCTATCGACTTGCCTTACCACCAGAATTGTCTCAAGTTCATAATGTCTTCCATGTGAGTTTGCTTCGAAGATACCGATCGAATCCGTCACATGTACTGGAACCAGATGAGATTGAGGTCCAGAAAGATCTAAGTTATGTGGAGGAACCAAAAGAGATCGTGGACCGAAAGGTGAAACAACTTAGGAATCGAAGTATTCCTATGGTGAAAGTAATTTGGAAAAGTCACACTGGAGAAGAAGCCACGTGGGAGACGGAAGAAAGCATGAGAGCACAATACCGCTACTTGTTTCAAGGTAAAATTTCGGGACGAAATTTTATTTAGAGGGGAGGAAATGTAACATCCCTGCCCTCGTACTAGTATTACGTTATAATTACGTGGTTGTGATTGGGTTACAAAAATTAGTCTTTTGAACCAAAAAGAAAGTGAATAGTGGAAGTGCTAGACTTAATTGCAAGTGAAGGAAAGTTTAGTGCCAAATAGACAATTTGGAGGGATGGAGAATTCTAGATAAGGGAGATAAAAATCTGCCCATCCTCTTATCTCTCATTTCCTTCTCATCCCTTCCCCTCACTCTCTCCCACGTCTCTCTCTTGCTCTCTTCCTTTCACCTGGTTTCACCACCTCAAAAACCACCACCACCTTTCAGAAACAAAGAGTGAAAGCTAGAAAGAAAAGCATATCAAGGAGAGGAAGAGGAAGAAGAAGGAGGCAAAGGGGGTGCTGCCAATTTCCGTCCAGCAGGGAGACAGCCTGTGAGAAGGACGATTCCGGACAATCAAACCGTTGGATCGTCCTGAGATTTGTCGGTTGGGTTTCATACTTCTTTGGATACGATTTGACCGTTGGAATCATCGATATGATCTCTGGTTCATAGAGGAAAGTCGCTGGACAGAAGGGGTGCGATACTGTTTTTCTGTAGCAGGACAGCAGATTAGAGGTAAGATCCTGTGCGAATCCGTCGTTGGATCGTTCTAGAAATTTGGTATGAGGTTAGGTATAGGTGGTTCTTCGAATTGACCGTTCAGAATGTAGTTTTGATGTCGGAGTGGTCAGGAAAAATTGTTAGAAGAAGGAGAGTTGGTTTTAAAGTGAAAGAAAGTTGTTGACAGTTTTGAAATGTCAAGTTAAAATGATTTCTGGGATCAAAAGGCTGATCCAAATGGTCTGAAATTTGGATATGTTGTATCCCTATGAATCTAGTCTCATTAGCAACGAGAATCAATGGATTTGGTTAAGTATCAAGGGAGAAATGATCAAAATGAGGAAGCATGGTAAAGTGTACAATCGTATGACTTCCCTTGTGGTCTTATTGACATGCATGAATATAACCATGATTATGATGATTGTATACGTGTCTTGGTGCTTGAATAACCTGGAAATCTTGTACATAAAGGTAAGGATCAAGCCGGGGGCTCATCCAAAGGCAAGGGCATAGCCGAGTGAAGACAAAGCTGTGAGTAGATTCTAATCTTAGATCTACTTCAACATAATCACAGTATCCGGGTCATGAAGTGGCCCGAATACATATCGGGGTCATGAAGAGGCTCCGGTATAATATGGGAATTTATGGGAAATGATATTGCTATGTGATCTGGCTTATTTGTGTTTATTCATTATCTGCATTTGGTATGAAGTTGGAAATGCATGAATTGTGAATGAGATATGGAAAGACATTCTGTTGATTTATTGTGCGGATTATGAGCAAGTATTCGAACTTGCGAACCCGTCTTGTCTGTTTAGATTTGGAGTAAGCCATTAGGCTTACTAATCCTGTTCTGCTTGAATAACTCGGAGTAAGCTCCTCAGCTTACATTCCATTCTGTTGTGACTGAGGGTACAAAAGCACTATGAATGCTTTTGAGCCTATAGTGTCTAAGTGCACTATTAATGAAAAGAGGTGAATACTTAAGAATAAGTAAAAAGGTTTTATGATACCTCGGTACAGTAGTGTGTCCTGTTTGTATCGATGTGGGTAAACCCCACGATACTCCTGTTTGAGCGCTCGTGCTTCGCACCGTGCCGATTGGGTGACGACCCACGGTACTCCTGTTCTGTTCAGTTAGCCGGGCTGGGGTAATCCCGTGGCGACTCCTGTTTTTGTATCGGTCCGGGTTGTGTCCCGCGATATTCCTGTTGGTGCGAGCACTCCTGTTTTGTGCCTTGAGCACTCCTGTTCGTACCGGATGGGGTTTTGTCCCGCGGTACTCCAGTTAACTGATGGCTGTACATGGTTATCCTGCAGCCTTCCACTACTGTACAACCCGAGGAGTATATCATTTAGCAAATTTGAAAGTGAAATTGTACATGCAAAATGCCTCTATCTATCACACGTTGTATGTGTTTGACTGTGATGAGTTGTGAATATGGGAACTTGATTGATTCATTAAAATGAAAAGTGTGATAAAACAATTTAAGTCCTGTTATGTGCTAGGGTGTTTCTGCCCAATACTGTTTTTGTATTGATGTCGACCCGAGCTTAGAATTTATTCACTGAGCGACGACTCATCCTTCGTCACCATTTTTCCTCAGATCAAGATCAGAAGTAAGGTCTGTACTGTAGATATCGGGACTCAAGCGTGAAGGGAAGCCATGAGGTGGGCGGAGGACTCCGAACTCCTTAAATGTTTTATGTTGTGTGGATTTTGTAATAAAGCGGACTTCCCCGGTTTCTGTTTTGACTCTGAAGGAAATGTATATTATGGTTTGAAGTTTAAAAAAAATATATATATATATTTAAAGCTCGGGCCCGAGAATGTTTAAACTCGATGTATTTTACTGTTTCGTTTTGTAATATAAAGTAAGGGTTTTACAATGTCAGCAATGCTGAATTCCCACTCATCCAATGTACAATCGACCCCCTGCTCTTTGAGAAACTCTGTCACATACTCAAAAATCACTTTCCCCACTGGTCCATGATCCTCCTTAGCCACTCGGGCATTGGGCTTTTGGCTGTCGAGTAGGAAAGTCTTCATATTCCTCATGTCAGCGACGTACACTCGGTAGTGATCATCTCGATACATTGGAAAGAAGATCTGAAACACAATACAGTTAGTGAGATAATCATTGACTAATATCCTAACAACCCAGATTAATATCTCAACAACCCAGAATAATATCCGATAAAGAAGAATAAAATATCCTATAAACTCAGACCAATATCAAGGAAAGTCAGAAAAATATCCAAACATTGAAGATACTTACGTAATCACATCTTTCCAAGTTTTCCCGTTTCAGCAATGGATTACTCTTGTGCATAGAAGTATGCGCCGAGACTCTCGCCTTGTCCATGGGTTGTTTTTTTATAGCATTAGCGACGGCATGTTGCTATTTAGAAGAGACAACAATATCAAATTAGACATTTTCAACATAAATAGGATCTAAGTAGTGAAGATAATACTTACTACATAGCTTCATGGAAGACAATTCTCTTCACCACCTCCTTACGTTCTTCTTGGTCATTTAGGAAGTGCATGTATACTAAAATTACTTGGCTATTCACCCAACTTTTACGCTTCAATGACAATATTTGGCAACGCCTAAGCTTACCCTTTGGAGTTTCCACGATATAGTCGTGACTGTAAAACACAAATGAAAAACCAGGTTAGTAGCCATGAAATTGGTCACTGTAAATATTTAAATCCAATCTTGGTCACTCAAATTAGTTAAATAGTTCAAGTTTGGTCACTCTCTGCTCATTTCCGTTAACTCTAGCTTACGTGGCATTCAACTTTCATAGTTGACCGTTAAATATGTGACAGGGTAATTAAAACATTATTTTAAAAAATAAACTTTTATATTTTCCACCTCATTATTACATATATTAAAAAATTAAAAACCTAATTTTTTTCTACACACCCCAATACCCTACCCGACCCAACTTCACCACCACCAGAACACAACCTCCGACCCGACAGCGGCATTCCTTCCAGGTTTGGCGAGCTCCCCATCATCGCACTATCCGTATCGAACACCTGCTCCATCCGGTAAACCACCGACGACTCCAACCACTACGACAAAATCCCCCTGATCTTCTCGTCGTTGTGCCCCACCACCGCCTCGTGCAGCCGCCACGCCGCCCACCCCAAATCGTTCCCCAGCAGCTCCCCCACCGCGGCAGAGGTCCTCATCGGATTAATCGAGTTCTCGAAGTAGTCTGGATGCAGGGGAGGATTCATCCTTCCCCTGTTGTTGGTCACGAGACGACACTCGGTGATCTTCTCCAGAGGGAAATTTCGTGCGCGGGTTATGCCTCGTCAGACCAATGCGGATAGGGATTGGAATGACGACATCTTGGTGGTCCGGGATTGGTAGTTGGTTTTCAATTTGATTTTAGCAATCGATTCGGCCGAGAAGTGGAAGAAGCATTCGAGGAGCTCTATCAATTCGTAGCTTCGGTTGTCCAAGCTTATCACTCACCTTCTCCTGATTGTCAACCTTTTTCTCGGTCTGCTCTGTTTATTCTACGGATCTTCCTTCGCGCCCGGATTGGAACCGTAATCTCTCCGGCGCGACGACTCTGACCCAAACCTCGGTTCACTTTCGGGTCCCCAGGTCTTTGACGATGACTCCCTCCAGAATCTGGAACTACCCAAAACCATTACGGAGAGTTCGGCTCTACTTTTCTCGAATTGGGGGATTTGGATGTCGTTTAATGTTGGAGAGTGTTGGCATTTTTTTATTGTATATATGTGATATGAAGTACTCCGAGCTCATACCTTGCTTGGATAGAGAGCTAATTTACCAGCTGAGGTTGAAGCTGAACTTGTCGTTGATGGAGCGCTCGAGGAGCTCTACCGATGGGGCGGCGTGGATCAATCGGGCTCCGGGACTGTTCACACAGTCGAGGGAGACGACGTAGGATCCGTCATCGTGTGGGGATTCGGAAGTGACGAGGCGGAAGGCGAGTGGGTAGAAGTGGGAGAGCGTGAGGGAGAGGGCATGGTTCAACCGGCGGAGAAATTCGACGATGTGGAAGCCGGGGGAGCGTTTTTGGTAGAGATGGCCCTTCTGGATGTAGTGGACGGAGAGCATGAGGAGGTCCCATGGAGGCAAGTTTATTGGGCGCTTCATTTCGTTGGCGGAAGGAATGCCGCTGTCAGGCCGGCGATTGTGTTCTGGTGGTGGTGAGGTTGGGTTGTGTCGGGTAGGGTATTGGGGTGTGTAAAAATGAAATTAGGTTTTTATTATGTTTAATGAATGTAATAATGAGGTGGAAAATATAAAATTTTGTTTTTTATTTTTAATAATTTTTTAATTGCCACGTTACATATTTAACGGTCAACTATAAAAGTTGACTGCCACGTAAGGTAGAGTTAACTAAAATGGACGGAGAGTGACCAAACTTGAACCATTTAACTAATTTGAGTGACCAAAATTGGATTTAAATATTCCCAATGACTAAACATGAACGTTTTTTTTAATCTTAGTGACCAACCATGCAATTAACTCATAAAAGTTTATTGATCAAATAGTTATTATTTTCATAGATAATTAAGTAAAATCTTCTAAAGATGCATTGATCGAAGGGGAAATGTATAAAATATGGGAGTGATAAACACAATACAGAGAGTGTTATTAGTCCTACCGAGCTCGTGATACAAGTATGCTAACATAACTGTACCACCTTGCATACTCTCCTACACGTGCCTAATCATGGAGAAGTAGAACATGCATAAGATGCATCTTAGCTCCAGATTGATAAGGAAACATAACTACTCCTAAAAGTAGCATGGCATATGCTCACGCATGCTGACTCGGTGTCTGATCTAAAGCTCCCTCTTGCAAGGTGGAGAACACATCTATAAGCCAAGAGTACTTCACAGTTCACACGTCCATTCGTAAGATCTAATCGTTCCTATGTAGAATGAAGGTTCCCAAGTAGGTTATTTATAACTCATCCTATGATGAGTTTGGTATATTTAGGATCATAGTATGCTCGTCGACTGATAGTCATGCAAGAACTGCAACATCCTCAGAGTAATACTACACTCGTCATAAAGAAGGTGAAAAGTAGAAGTTTGTGACCGTCAGTGCTCCACTACTATTGTGATAAAGTCAGAATCACCATATAGCGAGACAAGTTCATTAACAATATACAAACCAGTGTCATAAACCAGTTGATTCCAATAACTCGAGTTGTTGGGAGAAGGTTATTATGGATCTTCTACCATACTCTTACACGCCCCCTCAAACGAAAGCCAACTCACAGGGTTGAAGTTTGCACAGGCCCACCATACCTTGTGCTTTAATTTACTGTTAATATTGGGAGTCGTGGAGATTCAAACACACGACCACTGGGCAAAACCAGCTCTGATACCATGTCATAAATCAGTTGATCCCAATAACTCGAATTGTTGGGAGAAGGTTATTATGGATCTTATACCATACTCTTACTACCAGCACCCTGAATGTATGATCCATACTCCTCATAATACTTGCCTAATATAGGCGTACCTCGAGTCTTATATATATGGACGAACCAAAGCCTATGCGTCATCATGTAACTAATAAATGAATAAGTCACTAACAAATTACTTATATAGATAAGATAACTGAATTAAAGTATATAGTTATAAACTTACAAATAAAAATAACATATTAGTTAATTCATAATTATATAAATAACTTAATTAAAGTATATAAATAATAAACTTAACTGTAATAAACATAGCTGTATTCATACTAACTCAAGAGGATTATAATTCAATCTATTCCTAGTCACTAATAAAATACTATACTAATTCATACTAACTCAAACTAAATTAAATAACTTTTAATTTGTAAATTAAAGTATTATCTCATTCTACCAAACTAAATCAACTCGATGTTCACCATCTCCCCATAATAATTTGTTTTCAATTGGGGCTTGATTTATTTTAGCATTCTTGATGTCCATTAATATTAAATATTGATCATACATCGTAGGAGTAAAAAAATAAAACACAGCAATAATAATAATAATAATAATAATAATAATAATAATAATAATAATAATGCTAAAATAGAAGAAAAAGTCAACCCCTTGCTGCTAAGGAGCGAAGCCTCGTCGTCAGAAAAGGTGAGACTCGTTGGGAATATCATTTTTCCGGTTTTTTCTGGCCATTTTCGGTGGTGGGAGGAGAGTTTTGGAGAAGGTTGGAGGAAGAAGACAATAGTTCTCGTCTAGAGTAGGATTGGGAAAATAGACCAGACTGTTAGAAAAATAATGGTCTAAAGTTCAGACTGGAACGTATAGTTTGGTCCGGATCGTGTAATATTTGATGTTTTAATTTCTTGATCTGGTCTGGTCTAGATCGCGGTTTACCGGACCAAACCGTGGACCCAAACGACTTTTTCAACACGGTGTTAACATTCGACCACTCTCCCAACTCTCACAATGACATCCAAGTCTCAACCTTAATTTTGAGAATCTCGTACCCTCCTTCATTCACAACCACATTTCACTAGAGAGTAGAGATAATCGTGTCTCTATGTAAAATTATGTTAATGTTTGTGATGTTATAGTGCACGTTGGGATGCTTTTAATTTGTATCTTTGTTATGTACTAAGATTTAGGGTGTCAAAATTATTCATGCATGTTAGAATTAATATTTTAATACAGAAAAATATTGTTTTCCTTAGTTATTGGTTCAACTTTTTGTGTGGTTGACTAAATAAATTATTCATTTTTCGTTGAGTGTGGTCTATATAGACCAGACCGTACCAAACCAGACCGTACAGGCATGATCTGGACCGAACTGTATAGTCTGTGGTTTGGTATATGATCTATACTCCAGCCTCTCGGTCTAGACCATAAATCGTATATAGGTCTGATCTGGATTAGTCTTTTACAATAGTAGATGGAGAAGAATATTTTTCACAACGGTAGTTTAGATGATATTTATTCTAAAATACAGTATGTACAGGGGAAAATCCGGGAATATGTTTATTTTCCAATTATAAACTGATAGATGGCCGGCCCACGCTAAGATAAGTGACCGAGTACCTAAAATGGGTTGTTGTAGTCATCATTTATGGGCCGCGCTTCAAGTTTGCCCTGACCCGTTATCATCAGACGGACGTAGCTTTGTTCAGCGAAGTAATCGTGACGGACGACCCAAGCGGCAGCGGCTCAATCTCGACCGTCAAACCATCATACCTCAGGAACAGCTCCACCAACAGTACCCTGGACATCAGCACCACGAGATCCTTCGCCGGGCACTGCTTGTTCTCAGCCGTCGGATCATCCGTCTCCCGACCGTTAGACCAGTACACATCCCTCAACATCTTCTTCTCCCCTCGTCCCCCGACGAACCGATCCCCGACAAACTCCTCGGGACGATCGAACACCGTCGGATCTCTCGTGGCGAACGGCTGATATCCAAACAACATCTCCCCTTTCTTGACCTCGTAGGCGGCGTCGTGGCTGCGGACCACCATATCCTCCCTGGCCCTCCCGTACTGGAACGGGATCGGAGGCTCGATCCTCAGCGCTTCGTAGACCACCGACTTGGTCAAAGTCATCGCATCCAACGCTCCGAGAGTGACCTCCCCGCCGTGGCCGAGGACGACGGCTCTGATCTCGCCAGCCAGCTGGCGGTGCAGTTTGTGTCCTGCGTTGGCGACCCACTTGATCAGGGATGGGAAGAACGGCTTGAAGCCGCCGTAGGCGTTGAAGCCGGCTATGAATACGAGGTTGTGGCAGGCTTCGGCTCTTGGGATCCCGAAGCTGGACTCGGCTCGGTCGAGAAACGTTTCGGCGTGTTTGTTAAACGCCGCGTAGAGCTTGGAGTAGTCGGATTTGACGAGGGAGAAGGGGAATGGAAATGTGTGGAGGAAAAAGTCTTCGATGAAGCTGAGGGACTTTGGGAGAAGGCGTGGGGCTGTGATTGGGATGACCTGGAGGGCGTTCCACTTGTCGACGTGGGCCGGCCCACGGGTTCCGATCTCCGTCTCCGATGGATCCTAGTACATATTGTTAGCCAAATCAAAAGTTAACAACATGCCATATTTATTAATTTATAATAATAAGAAGAAGAGAATGATATGACGTATTATTATTACATGACGGCGGGAGATGATGTTGAGTAGTGGATGATAAAATAATTATATCGTCCACCAACTTTCTACCCATCTTAGGGTGGAGTGAGGGTCTACTATAAATTGAATTTGTACTATAATGTTAAAATTACGAGTTCAGTTTATACTATAAAATTTTTTATGCAAAGTGATTTTGGTATGTTCTGAATTTGTATTAGGCAAAATACATCTGTATATCCACAACTATTAGGTTTGTGACAAATATATCCATAACTATCGAAATACACGAAATATCCATTTATGTCCACTCCGTTAACTCCGTCAGTTATCTTGATGACAAGACAAATGGTGGATGCTTAGTTGGCGTATTTTTGACCCCACTAAATGACGTGGATTAAAAGAAAAAAAATTTAGGCAAAATACAGTTGTATATCCACAACTATAAGATTTGTGACAAATATATCCACAACTATCGAAATACACGAAATATCCAAAAATCGGAAGGTTGTGAAACAAATCTATCCACTTTCGTCCGAAACTATAACGGCATGTCAGACGGCGTTAAATTGACTAACGAAATGTTGAATCGATGCCATCTCACCTGCCACATAAGTCAAAAGCAACCAAACTTTACACCGTTATCTGTTAGACCTCACTGCTGCAGTCTTCTCTATTGGCGATTTGGTTAGATTGAAGCTTTTTTTGTTTGAGATTCAAGCTTTGTATCACTATGGCTCTGACTACATGGAAGCCGTCGGAGTAAAAGGGAGGAAATGGTTGGGGATTGTGGTAGGGTTATTTGGGGGTGGAGGCGTCGATCGAAGGAGGATCAGTGGTTATCAGGCGTGTTTCTGGGTTGGATTTTTAGTCTCGCCGTCTGTGGTTTTTAGGGTTTTTTGAAAAAAATTCTCTTTCAATCCACGTCATTCAGTGCGGTCTGAAACACGCCAACTAAGCATTCACTGTCTGTCCAGTCATCAAGTTAAATGACGGAGTTAACGGAGTGGACGGAAATGGATATTTCGTGTATTTCAATAGTTGTGGATATATTTGTCACAAACCTGATAGTTGTGGATATATTTGTCACAAACCTAATAGTTGTGGATATACAGCTGTATTTTGCCTTTATTCAACTAGCTTATTTGGCATCTACGTGTAAAGTTTGGTTGCTTTTTGGCTTATGTGGCAGGTGAGATGGCATCGATTCAACATTCCGTTAGTCGATTTAACGTCGTCTGACACGTCGTTATAGTTTCAGACGAAAGTGGATAGATTTGTCACACAACCTTCCAATTTTTGGATATTTCGTGTATTTCGATAATTGTGGATATATTTGTCACAAACCTGATAGTTGTGGATATAGAACTGTATTTTTCCTTTGTATTATAATGTCAAAAGTATAAGTTGAATTTGTAATATAAAAAAAATTGAACATTATAAAATGTTTTTCTCGTTGAACTAACTTTGTAAAATTTGTCTTGTATTATATGTGTATTTTGAATATATGTATCTGATTTAAAAGCGTTAAGTAATTTCCTAATCCAAACCACACTATGATCTATATACTTCATAAATTGATTAGCATTACTAAATCATACTTTTACTCATAAGCAAATATTCAATATCTTCTAGGAAAAAGTCAGCAAGACACAACTCACGTAATATTGTGCAAACTTATCTGACCCACCCAAATAAATCAACAGGGCAATTTTGAGAAAATAACTAATGGTTAGATAGCGGCGAAGGCATTTGTATTGACGGCATAATTAAAATTTGAAGCCCTAGTTTTCAGAAATATCCAACGTTGCTTTATATATATATTTAACCTAGTGGTGTAATCATAAATTTTTCATATGGGCGTTCTCTATGAAAAAATAAATTAAATAAAAAGAAAAATTAAATAATTCTTAACTATAAAAAATACCACAAATTAGAAAAAGTCCACGATGTATTTTCATCTTCAGATTTTAGAATACACTTGGTGACTACATTGCTCAAAACAAAATTGTCTATGTATATCCTACTAGACAATCATTCATGAACTAATAACATATTCGATTTTTAAACTTGTTTTTTATGTAACCCAAAGCTGAAAAGACTCATTCAACACTTGTCGTACAACCAAAAAATCAATATAAATTAACGGTAGCTCGAACTTAGTTTAATTGTAAGGTTTTGAAAATAATTAGAGATAGGGAATGACATTTTTTCCGATGAATTAGGGAATGATATTTTACTATTTTACAATGTTTAGAATCGAGCAATAAATGAGTTGTACTCTAATGAAAATTATGTTTATTAATTAATAATAATAGTGTCTTAAGTTTGAATTACCCAAACAACCACTTATATTCCCATACGCAAACTAAAAAATGAGAGTAAGATAAACATTTTATACAAACGACCACTTATATTCTCATACGCAAACTAAAAAAAAACGAGAGTAGGATAACTATTTTTCAAATTTTAGATGTGTCTCCAACTATCAATTATGATTATTTTTATCTATAAATAAATTACCACCGATAATTGTTTCCCCAAAATTTAGGGGTGTCCGAAACACCCACCCTGTCCGCCACTGTTTAACCCTAAAAATATATAAACAGGGGAAAATAAATTAAAGAGATACCTTATCGTCGCAGAAGAGGCGAAACAAGAAACCAAACACCATCTCCTCACTGAGGCCGTTGAAGTTGACACGCGCCGTCGCTGTGGCGGCGAACCGACCGTCGATGGCCCCGAACATCCGGGAGAGAGAAGCTCGGAAGAGAGGAATGAAACCGTCGCGCTTGGAAGCAAGGAACGACATCACCAATGATTTGAGAAGCGCGTGCTTGGGGTCCCTGGTGTCGAGGAAAGCCAGCATCCGGAGGCCGCCGGTGAAGTCGACGGAAGGCACGTAGGTTCCGTCGAGGACGTTCATTTTCTCCACCTTGGAGTTGTCGAACAGCACGGGAAACGAGGCGGCGTCGAGGAGCGCCACGACTCGGGAGTCGGCGGCGACGAAAGGCCCCGGCGGCATGTTGGTACGGATGACGGTGGCGTAGTTGTGGCTGCGGATGCGGGAGGCGAAGTATTCGTCGGTGCCTTGGTAGTAGAAGTAAGCTAGGCGGTCTCTCATGGGGCCCAGGAACGGCAAGCCGTAGCTGCCCGGGATGGGTTTTAGTGGCAGCTCCGGCGGTGAAGACGGCGGCGGCGGCATGTTATAATTTTGGCTTCCCTTTTTCTTTCTTGTATGTCGAGAGTTGTAAGTAATGGTGTTGTTACACATATATATATTCCATGTATGTGTATCATATGTGGCATCTAATGTAATAGCGGTTTCACGTACTCTATATTTATATTTTATAGGAGAATATATTTAGTGTGTAAGCCAGAGAGACGCAATTTTCTCTCACGTTACTGAGTTTTTTTTTTCAGCCTGAATAAGTTTACGTGCTTTAATTTCAATTGGTCCATATTCTTTTGGTGAAGGTAGTGGTAGAGTCTGGTCAAGGATAATTATATTTCCATAGGAAAACTCTCCCGTTATCGAATTATCAATTACAGGGTCTCTGAATCAGTGTCCATGAAACCGTATCGTACCGACGGTGCAACCACGAAATACCAGTATCGGAGGCTAAACCGATAGGCGGTTTTTACCGGTATAACGGTTGAACTACGGTTAAACCACGGTTTTACCATAAAATACCCTACCGCTAACTTTCCGATACGATCTCCGGTACGGTTTCATGGACCATGCTCTGAATATGAATAATGAGAGAATATCTGCAGGAGATGGAGTAATGCATATGGAATAAATCCGAAGGAACAAAGCGGCAACGTTTTGCCTTTAAATTCCGATAGCTTATGTTAAAACACTATCGTTATATTTATTGTCAAGTTAGTCGTTAAACTACAGTACTTAATTTTGTAATGAGCTAGTGTTTGTTTGACATGTGGCATAGATATATATCTAGGTTCTCAAATAATAATCTATCTAACCATACAAGATTAGGGTTCCACAAAATCTAAGTAAAAAGAGGGATTAGCTCATTATGGATAAAAAAACAAACATAGAAGAAGAAGAAATCTCTATGATAGAATCCTTGAACGATTGCTCCCAATCAATTTTTATGGGGTTGAGCTACTGGAAAATCCTCTTACTCTACCCTATGTCTTGACTTTTAGGTTTTTGGTCGAGTTTATTAGTCACCCCCCTTCAGAGAAACGTAACCCTAAATCAAATTAAATAGTGCTAAAGTATGGCTCGAATACGGCCACGACCATCCTACGGGGCATGTTTGGCTCAAACTTTATTTTATTTCGATTTTTTAGGGGTGAGTGGTTTCTGAGCACTCCTTGACAACAAGTTCATGCTCTGGGCCGTATTGGGCTCATAAAATATCTGAATCGCTAAATGTCGCCCTAAGAATTGCTAAACATCGCCCTAACTTAAAAATCAAATTACCTAAATACCCTTAATGAAAATTAGAAAATAGAACCAACCAAACAGCCCTTCCCCTTCCCCTTCCCCCTCTTCCCACGCGACCCCTCCCCTCTCTGCAACTCCCTTCCCCCACCTCCGGCCGCCGGCCGGTCCTGCTCCCGTCGCCGCCCCCCCGCCAGCCTCGCCGCCGCCCCGCCGCCAGCCTCGCCGCGCCCCCGCCAGCCTCGCCGCGCCCCTGCTCAGGTCGTTGCCGGAGAAGAAGGCCGCGCCCCCGCCAGCCTCGCCGCCTCCCTTGCCAGTGCCAGCCTCGCCGGCCGCGCTTCGACGCCAGCCCGTCGCCGCCAATCCTGCCTCGCCGGAGAAGAAGGTAAGGAAAAAAAAAAAAAAAGTTGCCCGAACCGCGGTCAACGCGCGGTCAGACCCGACGGTCAACCGCGGTCAACGCGCGGTCTGACCGCGGTCAAAGGGCGGTTGACCATTGGTCAAAACGCGCTTTGACCGCGGTCAGCCGCTGGTCGGACCGCGCGTTGACCGCGGTTGACCGCCGGTCAGACCGCGCGTTGACCGCGGTTCGGGGCTTTTTTTTTTAAAATTCTGTTTTAAAATTCTGTGTTTTATTATTCGTTAAATAAATGTTAATAATAATAAAAAAAATAAATAAATATACATAATAAAAAAAATTAGTTATATTATTGATAAATACTAATTTAGTTATAATGATAATTAATAATAACGTATTCTATAAATGTTAATTTAGTTATAATATTAATTTAGTTATAATTTAGTTATATGATATAAAAAAATTTAAAATCGTATTTGATAATTGTTAATTAAAGATAACAAATTTAAAGAACATTATAAAAAAATTAAAAATGTGTTTTTATCATTTTAATAATCAAAATTTCAAAGTAATTCGTTTATCTACTTAATTATTAATAATTTTACCTTGATTAAAAAGTAAATAATTATTACATAGAACATAACCTAAATGTTAAAACTATTAGTTTTATAATTTTAATTATGAAAATCTTAAATTAATTACTTTATGTACTCCATTATTAATAATTCAAACTTTTTTTTGAAGATGTCTGGACATGGAATGGGTAAACCGGATATGATTAAGGCGAGAAATAAGGAGAGAATGGAGGGTCGTGCTTGTAGACTTACGGCGACTGGTAGGAAGGAAAATGAAGAAAAAAATCCACCTAAGGTTAGAAGGAAGAAGAAGGCGGATGTAGTGCGTCCTGACGGCCACCCTACTGTGGGGCAGTTGTCTCTTAGTCGAGGCACTACTAGTACTCCTACACCAGATACCGCACCGGTATGGCAGGCTAATTGGAGTGATTCCATTGACGAGGATGATGATGATGACGGTGATGCTGAGGTTGGGAATGCCCCAGATGCTGGTGCTGCTGCTGGTGATGCTGCTGTTGATGGTGCTGGTGATGCTGAGGCTGGGGATGCCCCACCTCAAGCTGATTTAGGCGTGGGGAAGACGGCACGGGTCGGGGTATCTTCTACTGCCTCCTCCCACTTCCGTGGGCCCGATGGACGCTATGCGTCCAGACCTAGTAGCGAGGATGGCGGAGATGGAAATAGGAAGAGGAAGACCACGAGGAAAGATATGTCGTGGTTTCTTACAGCCGAGTCTCCGATGTGTTCAGGTGGACCAGTGATTCCCGATGTGATCCCTAGCTTTGGAGGTCACATTGGCTTGGTACTGTGGAATTCCCCTGAGCAGGACCGTGGAGTGTTGGACGACTTTCATAGGCCGAGAGCTGTAGAGACTTTGAGGCGATATAAGTGGAGTGCAGAGGGTCCCCCATGCGGTTCATCAATGCCATCATTTTCAGGATGAAGATGGCTCCGGAGTAGGCCGATTGCACCTCGAATGGTCTCGTCGCCTCTATCAAGAACCTCCTGTACTAGACATTGGAACACACCACGGTGGTAATCACTATGGTCATCCCACTCCGGCCGAGTAGGAGGTTCACGATAGTTGATAACGGTCCAGAATGGCAACACATCATACAAGGCGAAATCCCGATTTTCACGTCGTGCTAACTGAATGGAACATCTACATGGGAGACCATAGGTAGGAAGAAACGTACATGTACAAGGTTCCCCTTCCACTGCTACCTCGAACAACATCAACCTCAGAGCTTCTAGAGTGACTTTCGTATTCAACTCTCGAAATGGTTTTCCATCATTTATGCAATAAATTTAATCTTAATTTGTAACGCAAAATCTAATCTTAATTTTCTAGATTAACACCAAATTAAATCTAATCTTAATTTAAGGCCAAATCTAATCTTAATTTCTAATGCTAAATCCTTCAATTCCAAAAATCTAATCAAAACCCAATAAATCTAATAAATTATATTAATCTTAATTTGTAATGCAAAATCTAATCTTAATTTTCTAGATTAACACCAAATTAAATCTAATCTTAATTTAAGGCCAAATCTAATCTTAATTTCTAATGCTAAATCCTTCAATTCCAAAAATCTAATCTTAATTTCTAATGCTAAATCCTTCAATTCCAAAAATAATTATGCAAATAAATCTAATAAATTATATAAATCAAAACCCAACAAATTATTTCATGGAACAATCATAAATCATATAAAAAATAAAAAATTATTCAACGAAAAAAAAAAAAACCAAAAAATGCCCAACCGCAAGTGACCTGCGGTTTGACCATGGTCGGACCGCAAATCACCTGCGGTTGAGCCATTGGTGGACCGCAATTGACCTGCGGTTGGACCATGGCTGAACCGCAGGTGATTTGCGGTCCGACCATGGTCCAACCGCAAGTCAATTGCGGTCCACCAATGGCTCAACCGCAGGTGATTTGCGGTCCGGCCATGGTCCAACCGCAGGTCACTTGCGGTTGGACCATGGTCGGACCTCAAATCACCCGCGGTTCCCAATTTCTGTGTTTTTTTTTTTTTGGTTCATGTTCTTACCTCGTCGGAGTCGCTACTCATGATTCAGACGTCCTATCGACGATATCGGCTTCAAAATGACGATGAGAGATTTTTCTCTCCTTAGAGAGTGTTTTTTTAGTCCAAGTGATGTTTGTTTGAGGAAGGGAAGGTAAAGAAGCTATGGGGGTTAAAAGTGTAACTTTTATTCTATTTAGGGCGACCTTTAGCAATTTTAAGGGCGACCTTTAGCAACTCCCTAAAATATCATCTAATCTCATCTAAATACTCTTCCAATCGTCCTAAACTCCACAAGTTCCATCTTTGGTTGTTGTTTTCATCCAAATATATCATCAACTCCACTCAAAGTGACCTAAAACACAATAAAACAACAAATCAAGCATACAACACATTCTCTTCTCTATCAACTCTGTGAGAGAGGTGTAAGGAATGGTGTCGAAAATTTTATCCTTGCCTCCCAGAAAAAATCCTAAGTCCTTAACGCAAGCCTTAAGTGGTTGTCATTAGTGAATTAACCAGTTGCCCCATCATGTAAGATGTTCTTTAGGTACCCATATTTGAATTTCAAATTTGATCACTTTATCACTACGACTTTTAGTCCAACTTATAGTTGAGTCTCGACACTACACAGGTTAAATGTCCTAAAAATACTAATCTAACATATCAACCAACATATTTAGGGATGGTAAGAAGACTTCTGTACCAACTGACTCGCACGAAACTACACCGCAAATTAATCTCGACTAGAGCCAAGTTTTTAAACTCTAGCCGGGTGTAGTATAGAGCAAGTATTTAAATTGTCAACCCGGGCCGGTCCATGTACCCCTACTTCGATCGCTTAAGTTGTTATCTAGCAAGCAACTTTAGGGTTTAGGTTTATTGGAACTACAAACT